GTCAAACGCTCGGGGTGTGGCCCCCTAAAACAACCACCTACTTCATTTTTGGCACCTGGTCAGTATCACAGCCCTCACACAAATCAAATGAGATTTGTGTGGCGCATATATATCCAGTGCTTCTTTGTACCAATGAATTATGTGTGCTTGCGATTGGGAAGGTATGTTTTTCACAATTATACTTTTAAAGTTATTAAATTCTTTTTTAACTAAACTTTCTTATATTTCTACTTGTTTACTTTAGACTTCATTGGTTTCATCTTTACAATATATACACTGACATACATAGAATGAATGAATATGGAACATTTACAAAACGTATAGGTTATACATCCATCATAGAACTTATTTGTATTTGTTTATTTCCATTAATATTACAATGTTTACGATCAATTATCTCTATACATTTTAATATATCATCAAAAAATCGATTTTATTACTCATTGATTATTGATTATTTTATTATTTTATTACCAATTCTTTTATTATTAACAATTTTATCATCTTATATTATTATCATTGTAATAAGTTGCTTTATCATTTTTCTATTATGGTTATTAATACCACCAAATGATGATGATCATCAAATGAAGTCTTCCTTTGAAAAGTTCCACACTTTACCGATTAATATTATAATTGCTTATTTACGTAGTACCATCTATATACTTTCATGTATTATGATATATGCTATTGATTTACCAATTTGTCCAAGACGTTTTGCTAAATCTGATATCAATGATCTTGGCTTAATGGATGTTGGCACAGGTTTATTTATATATGCATCAGGTATATCCGGTTCTAAAGTAGTTTGGTATATGAATCTTGATCGAGATCATCGTAAAAGTGTTTTTCATTGTATATTGAATACTGTGATACCATGTTTACTATTAGGATTATTAAGAACATTATTCATTCAGTTGTCAAATTATCATCAAAGTATTACTGAATATGGTATTCATTGGAATTTCTTTTATACTGTTGCATTAATACGTGCTATATCACTTATTATGACTACTGATAATTTTATCAGTAGTTATCTGATAACATTTTCATTAAAAAAAACAAATTCAATTCTATTACATTATATCTGGTATATTCTTAATAGTCTCTGAATTATTGCCAATAATAATTTGTCCAAAGTATTTTCAAACAAGATGGCAGTTTAATCCAAGAACATTACATTATATAAATGATAATCGATCTAAATCTTTATGGATTGCTAATTTTGAAGGTATCATCTCTTTATTTGGTTATGCATCAATTTACTTTTTTATTTTGAGTTCATCACTTCTAGTTCGATCTTATTTGTCAAGAGATACTAATAAAGACAATAGTAATGGCAAAAGTTCACTGAACAAGAAGGAATTTTCGTTATTCAGCATATATTTCATCTGTAGTTTCATGATCCTATGCTTATTAGGTTGTTTCTACTTACTAGGTGGTAGTCAAATGACATCCAGACGTTTTGCAAATTCTAACTATATATTACTTATTATATTTCTCTCAATCATAATGCTTTCTTTTTCTTATTTTGATGATTTCATTATTGATACACTTTAAATCGCTTTTCAACCTAAACTTAAGCTATCCCCCATTATCTTTGATAATTAATGATAAAGGCTTTTTATATTTCATCATTTCGAATTTATTGACTGGTTTCTTCAATGTGTTTTGTTTGAATACTCTACAGTTGTTGCCTGAAGGAGCAAGATTAAATGTTATCATGGGTACGTATGATGATTTGAGTTGGTCTTCGTCATTATTACAATTTTCAGTGCTCTTAGCCTATTCGAGTTTATCAGTTATTTTTGTTTTAATCGGTGCTTATTACGATCGCCTTAAACTTTCTTCTCCCAGTATGTTTGGTATTTCTAAATAAATGATTAGTGTGAATCAATGGTTCTTCTAAGTACATTCCTTAAGTGTAAAGCGGCTGTACCTAAAAACTTCTGTACACAAGTTTGCATTCGATTTTAAGCAGTTTAAAGACATTTTAAGTTGACCTGATTATTTTCGATTGACATTCTGTTGGGGATGTCAAATCCCCAGAACTTACTTGGTAAAATGGCTTAATCTTGTAGTTTTATTTTGAAAATTTGAATTTAGCTGTTTTCGCGCCAAAAGCGCTCTTTTTACCTTCACGTCATATTTCCCACTTGTAAACTATCTTAAACGCTATTGGTCCATTGTTTCTTTATGTGTGCTATTTACTAATGATGCTCAAGGACAATTTGTTACTGTATAAATGCGCTTGACGTTTCCCCTTATTCGATTTGCTTGTACTCGGCTGCTTACGGAATATATATATATTCCCCTGCTTATCTTGGACTTCTTCATCTAGTTAGCGGGGCCTGAGACAACCGATTAGAATAGCTTATCGTGTCATTGGCTTTCGTTCGTTACCGCGGAATCGATTTAGTGTCAAGCATAACAATTGGCGACGGTGGTTTGGAAACATGGATCCTTCTAGACTCGAATCATTACTTGAACAGCAGCTGAAGCTCATACAAATGCTGACAGACATGAAAGTTTCGCCCCTTACACAGCCTAGCACAGCTAATGCAACCACAGCACCATCAGTAGACGGCATCGCAAATAGTATTGCTGAGTTTCGTTATGATCCTGATGCAAACGTTACTTTTGACATGTGGTTCCGGCGTTATGAAGACCTATTTAAATTTGATTTTGCTAATCCATTGGGGTTTCCCCGCGTGGGTTCGAATCCCATCCCCGTCGCCAATTGTTATGCTTGACACTAAATCGATTCCGCGGTAACGAACGAAAGCCAATGACACGATAAGCTATTCTAATCGGTTGTCTCAGGCCCCGCTAACTAGATGAAGAAGTCCAAGATAAGCAGGGGAATATATATATATTCCGTAAGCAGCCGAGTACAAGCAAATCGAATAAGGGGAAACGTCAAGCGCATTTATACAGTAACAAATTGTCCTTGAGCATCATTAGTAAATAGCACACATAAAGAAACAATGGACCAATAGCGTTTAAGATAGTTTACAAGTGGGAAATATGACGTGAAGGTAAAAAGAGCGCTTTTGGCGCGAAAACAGCTAAATTCAAATTTTCAAAATAAAACTACAAGATTAAGCCATTTACCAAGTAAGTTCTGGGGATTTGACATCCCCAACAGAATGTCAATCGAAAATAAATCAGGTCAACTTAAAATGTCTTTAAACTGCTTAAAATCGAATGCAAACTTGTGTACAGAAGTTTTTAGGTACAGCCGCTTTACACTTAAGGAATGTACTTAGAAGAACCATTGATTCACACTAATCATTTATTTAGAAATACCAAACATACTGGGAGAAGAAAGTTTAAGGCGATCGTAATAAGCACCGATTAAAACAAAAATAACTGATAAACTCGAATAGGCTAAGAGCACTGAAAATTGTAATAATGACGAAGACCAACTCAAATCATCATACGTACCCATGATAACATTTAATCTTGCTCCTTCAGGCAACAACTGTAGAGTATTCAAACAAAACACATTGAAGAAACCAGTCAATAAATTCGAAATGATGAAATATAAAAAGCCTTTATCATTAATTATCAAAGATAATGGGGGATAGCTTAAGTTTAGGTTGAAAAGCGATTTAAAGTGTATCAATAATGAAATCATCAAAATAAGAAAAAGAAAGCATATGATTGAGAGAAATATAATAAGTAATATATAGTTAGAATTTGCAAAACGTCTGGATGTCATTTGACTACCACCTAGTAAGTAGAAACAACCTAATAAGCATAGGATCATGAAACTACAGATGAAATATATGCTGAATAACGAAAATTCCTTCTTGTTCAGTGAACTTTTGCCATTACTATTGTCTTTATTAGTATCTCTTGACAAATAAGATCGAACTAGAAGTGATGAACTCAAAATAAAAAAGTAAATTGATGCATAACCAAATAAAGAGATGATACCTTCAAAATTAGCAATCCATAAAGATTTAGATCGATTATCATTTATATAATGTAATGTTCTTGGATTAAACTGCCATCTTGTTTGAAAATACTTTGGACAAATTATTATTGGCAATAATTCAGAGACTATTAAGAATATACCAGATATAATGTAATAGAATTGAATTTGTTTTTTTAATGAAAATGTTATCAGATAACTACTGATAAAATTATCAGTAGTCATAATAAGTGATATAGCACGTATTAATGCAACAGTATAAAAGAAATTCCAATGAATACCATATTCAGTAATACTTTGATGATAATTTGACAACTGAATGAATAATGTTCTTAATAATCCTAATAGTAAACATGGTATCACAGTATTCAATATACAATGAAAAACACTTTTACGATGATCTCGATCAAGATTCATATACCAAACTACTTTAGAACCGGATATACCTGATGCATATATAAATAAACCTGTGCCAACATCCATTAAGCCAAGATCATTGATATCAGATTTAGCAAAACGTCTTGGACAAATTGGTAAATCAATAGCATATATCATAATACATGAAAGTATATAGATGGTACTACGTAAATAAGCAATTATAATATTAATCGGTAAAGTGTGGAACTTTTCAAAGGAAGACTTCATTTGATGATCATCATCATTTGGTGGTATTAATAACCATAATAGAAAAATGATAAAGCAACTTATTACAATGATAATAATATAAGATGATAAAATTGTTAATAATAAAAGAATTGGTAATAAAATAATAAAATAATCAATAATCAATGAGTAATAAAATCGATTTTTTGATGATATATTAAAATGTATAGAGATAATTGATCGTAAACATTGTAATATTAATGGAAATAAACAAATACAAATAAGTTCTATGATGGATGTATAACCTATACGTTTTGTAAATGTTCCATATTCATTCATTCTATGTATGTCAGTGTATATATTGTAAAGATGAAACCAATGAAGTCTAAAGTAAACAAGTAGAAATATAAGAAAGTTTAGTTAAAAAAGAATTTAATAACTTTAAAAGTATAATTGTGAAAAACATACCTTCCCAATCGCAAGCACACATAATTCATTGGTACAAAGAAGCACTGGATATATATGCGCCACACAAATCTCATTTGATTTGTGTGAGGGCTGTGATACTGACCAGGTGCCAAAAATGAAGTAGGTGGTTGTTTTAGGGGGCCACACCCCGAGCGTTTGACTGTAAGATCTAATGCCCAAGACAGTGGAGCATCGTGAGGAGATGCAGTCCCACGGTAGCTGGTGACCAACGATTGGTTCATACACCATTTGTTTCTTCAGGATACTGGAGCCAGACCATGTGCACCATTGGTCTAGAATCAGGGTTTTCCAACTCCCCTAGATGGACTCGCTGTGTCCACCAACCCGGTTAAAGCTCCGGATATTCGCTTTTTGTCCCCTCAATTTCGTGAACAACACCCCTGCCACGAGAATACAGTGAGTAGGATATCCCTGGCAGAGGCTATATATTCGCGTGGCCATGTGAGAGTATTTCGAGAGGGAGAGCGGACTCTCCCAACTCTCGGCCGTATCAGGGCATTTGGGGGCAAAGTTTAATCGAGCCTGCTTAATATATATATATATATATATTATTTACCCATTGCAATGAAGACATGTGTCAGTCGGTTGACATTTATTGCAAGGTTATTGTGATTCCCGACCCCTATTTAAAGAAATTTATTTAGGTATGATTATAGAAATTTAAAAATAATTGATTGGTTAACTTGAGTTTCAAAATGTATGGTCATGTGTTTATACGCAAACATATTTTTTGCATTTTACTAAGAGTCAACTGTAAAAGACAGAAAAACTATTTCTTCAACATGACACAGATTTGTAATTACAGCAGTGATTATTGTATGTGAAAGCTAATCAAGTTTTCGTAAATATATAATAACTTAGGAAAAATGAACCAGGAATATTTATGTTCCGTAATTGCACCACATATTGGACAATGGAATCCAAGGTGTTGTGGTCTTCAGCCACAGAACGAATGAAACATAACATTTCAGCGACAAACAATCCAAGTTCTTACATCAGCATATTCAATTTCAATTAGGAAAACACGTTCCAGTCTGTTGTGTCTTTAAGTCCGACTAATTATCATGTGACTTTACCGCCAATCGTAATACGACTAATACAATCTTAGCACTATGCCAAACCAATGAAGTTTGATCGGTATGAGCAGCCTAGCGTACTTATTGGCCCTTTGTCCTTTTAGCCCTATCAGTTGAGTTCAGAACACCAATACCAGCTTCCACTATGCGAATCATTTATTTCAGACATACTTGGTTTGTATACAGCCCAAAATAACTACATCACACCAAAAAGTGCCTGTGATTGTGGGAGACGGTAATGGCTTGTATTTTTACAGAATGAGACACCATTGATGACTTAGATTTCCTACATATATATATATATATATATTCAATAGTCAGTCACAACGTAGAACTTCGTACGCACGTACATCAGTTCGAGTTGCCATACCACATTAGCACAGAGATACAGTTGTCGATTCAAATCCCATAGTGGTAGAAGTAGTAGGAGTATGAGCACTAATGTGAAAGATTAGGGTTTGAAGAAGTTATTCAAGTAGTACAATCCAGTGAAACAAATTCGGAGAAAAAAAGGAAGGGACATGAAGAATTCAGAAGACTAGAATTTGGGAGAACACAAAGAGTTGATGCACCTTCGTCATTGCAAACGATTTTGAGCCATGTCATTCAAGGTCTCTAACCATCGTTTGCTATCATCTCGCGGATCCCAACCAGGTAGTCTACACCTACCAGCATGGCTCAGTCCACTTGTCAATGACTTCATGGATTTGTGCCACGTTTTGGTCTGGCCACCCCTAGATTTCTTCCAACCTACTCCTAAACCATAAAACATCGCAAGTCGGGGCAATCGGTGGTTGGGCATACGTAACACATGTCCCAGCCATCTCGACTGATGAAGTTTCACTACTTCATCAATCGATTTGCCATCATTACCTAGTACCCGTTTCCTAACAACTGCATTACTTACTCGGTGGTCCCAGGATATACGAGCAATGCTTCAAAGACACCTATGATCGAATACTAGTAGTCTACGAATATCCTCTACTCTTACCGGTCACGTTTCACTGCCATAAAGTAGGACGAAACGAACTGTTGCGCAGTAAACCCGTTCTTTGGTTGCTAGACAGATATCTCGCCTACGCCATAAATGACGCAAGTTGGTGAAAGCTAGGCGAGCCTTCTGTATCCGTGCTGATATTTCGTCACACACCAGACCACAAGGGCTGATGAGAATCCCAAGATAAGTCAAGCGGTCGACACGCTCAACTACTTCACTCCCAATCATTAGTTCAGGTGTCGATGCAACCCGATCCTGAAGTAATATTTTGCATTTCGAGGGGGAAAATCGTGACCCAAACATACCTGCATTGTTGCTTATAATGGTCAGAAGACTCTGCATTTTGTCATCGTCTTCAACAAATATTCCAAGTCAACAAGTGAGTCTCCTAGTAGAAGTTCAACCCCTCTAAATTTGGATGAGGGAAGTGTTATTTCCATAAGCACGTCTACGATAAAGTTAAATAAGAATGGAGAGAGTGGACAGACTAGACTAACTCCACTTGAGGTAATCAATTCTGATGACAGTTAGTCATAAGCTGTCGCTTGGTCAGTCGTATTCGAGTAGAAAACCCTTATAAGGTCAATGTACTTCTTTGGTACTCCTTTCATTGACAAACACTGCCACAAAACCTAACGATCAACAGAGTCAAATGCCACCTTAAGGTCAAGAAATACTACGATTGTGGGACGCCTGAATGTGTATCTATGTTCTAGGACCTGACGTATAGTGAATATCTGTTCTATACAGCCACGTCCAGGTCGAAAACAAGCCTGGTTTTCCCTAGTCTGCTCTTCACGAGCTTTGGTTAGGCGTCCAAGTACTATTGAGACTAATATTTTAGACACTATATTAGTAAAACTGGTCCCTCTGTGATTGTCACAGGAGGACTTTTGTCATTTCTTATAGACTGGCACAATCAGTGATTGGGACCAGTCAGATGGAATTATGTCCAATTCCCAGATTCCACCTAAGACCTCAGTCAATCTCGCTGCTAGTACTGGACCACCATCCTTAAAAATCTCAGGAGTAAACCTGTCAGAGCCTGCTGCTCTCCCTCGCTCCAGATTTCCTATAGCTTTTTCAATTTCGTAAAGAGTTGGAGGATTTACATTAACTTGCCATTCAGGACGACTTTGGATCGTGGGGAATCGAAGTGTGGCTAAAGGCCAATTGAAATGATCCCTAAAGTGTTCTGCCCATCGACCCAATCTCATGGATTGAGAATGAGTGATATGTCCATCTTTATCTGAGATAGTTTCGCTGATAGTTGGGTTTCTAATACCGGTTTCTTTGACGAGTCTGAATAGTTGTCTGCTGTTACCTATTGCCGCTGCCTTTTCCAGCTCTTGTGCTTTCGCTACCCACCGCTGTTCGCGACCATTGCGTAGGCTTCTTGTTAGTCAATAAGCCTTCTTTGTTTCATTGTTAGTACCATTTTCCTTCAAAAACGTACACATGAAGATTCAGGAGACGACGCTATGGAGAACCAGATCGATCGCATCTGGATCAACAGAAAAGTCTGAATGTCCATGGAAGACGTAGGAACAAATATGGCTTCGTATCACCACTTGGTGGTAATTGAGGTTAAAGGAGCATAGGACAATGACACAGGCAAATCAGCAAAATTTTAATATAGCCGTCCTCCGAAATACTAGTAAATTAAGCTAATTAAAGATAGCTCTTAGCAATAGATTCCGAGTCTTACAATATATACTAGAAGAAACCCTTATGGAGAATACCAAGTGCTGGGGCTTAAGAAGCACCTGTCTACAGCATGATTTTCCATTCATACTCTGAGCAAGATTCAAGATGAGAAAAACAAAAAGATAACAGTCAACAACAGCTAAACAGGAACAGAGAAGGCTAGGGTACAGGCCAAAAATACAGAAGGAAACAAATTAGTGGAGACGAGTATTGGAGCTGACAAGCAGGAATATGTAAAGGACCCAGAAAATACACGGTCAATCACTTACACCTGTCAGTTGTAACATTTTGATTTTAATCGTGCAACTAAATCAAAGTTGCTTCAGAACCTGACGAATAATCAGGATAGACAAAACCCATAAATTAATATTTCGATCCAGTTAACCTGGCTTTAGTATATCTAGGTCTTGTTCTTTGAGTATCTGCTTTTCTAAAGTGGAAGGGTTACGTTGAGGCTAAAACAGGGAAAACACTATCGAACTCAGTTGGGCAATACGCCAAAGATTTTAAGAGATAAATGAAACGGAGACGAAAACCTATACAATGGATCAAAATGAAGGAGGCTAAGATTTTTATCGTCAATAAGTAACGTCACATGAGAAAGGTTTCAGACGTTTATTCTATACACACAGTTTATGTAAATTTAATCCAGATACAACCAAGGGTTAAGCAATGAAAAATGTACAAAAGCACACTATTTTTGTCATATTTTATACTACTCGACTCGGAACGGTGTACGTGGTGATCTCATGATCTACGTCGCAGTATGTGATGGTGTGGGTTTAGTGACCAATAGGAACATACTGAACCCGAGATGTTAAGTGGCTCTAAAAGTGATTTTGTCAAATTTTACTTGGATATCAGCCACCTAGAAGGTAGATGGAATTAAAAAAATTCATTGTGGGGAAATGAAGTAGGCCATGTTTAAGAGTTAAGACCGAATGGAGAACAAATTGTAGGCATATAAATGAATACCTAAGAGGCTTGTTTTTTTTCTCCTTGAAACTTGAAGGAAATATAAGCTGAAAAGTCCATGAATTATGTCAAAATCACAAACGAATTTCATTTCTATTTGTTTTACTTTACTTTTCCTAGGTAAAACTAACCATTTTACCAGGTTCACTTTAAAGATAGCTCAGTTTAACACATATTCTTTGGTCTTGTCACTCATGTGTTTCCCCAACTACATAATGAAAGACTAGTAGTTAGCATGCTACAAGTCATAAGTTATAAATAAATACAGTTGTCGATGAATTAAATCGCCCACAATTACGGATGATTTTTGAAAGATGCCAAAGGCAGATTTTCAAAAAATCCACCTTACTACTAGGGACAAAACACATGGTTCTAAATAAGTGTGAGGAATTAGGTTAGCGTTTTAGAGATAAAAACTTAAGTTGGAAATTGGAGTTCGTGCAGGCTCCCGATTTTGAGGAAAACCACAGACCGATGGGAATATTGGTAATTCCCTCAAAATTAAGGGAAGGTTTTCAATACGAACTGACGACAGCCATATTGCCAGAATGTCATTTATCCGCACACATGAATGAAATTTGCGCTAAAATCCAAGACTAAGCTAAATCTGATCATTTTTATCCAAAAATTAAGATTCTAGACGTTTCAGCGCATTTTCGCATTATTCCTCCCTTATTTTCCAATGCATCTTCCCATTTATTGGTTGTTTGGGCTGTACAGTACAAGGAAAGCCATTGATTTCAAGAAGTTTGGGAGGGATCCCCCAGATGAGAAACACCAGAACAGCATAACAACATTTTAAAGGGAAATTACTATCACGGTGATTACAAAATCATTGACCAAATATCTTTATAATATAAGTATAAT